AGGCTGCGTGGGGAGGGGGGGGGAAGGTGCCCCGGGCGAGGAGTTAAGGACTTCGGTGGTGCTGAGCTGCTCGGGGTCAAAGCGTCCTGCCCTGTCCTGTTCCCTCCTGCCCTCCGTCCCTCTCTGTCCGTCTCGCCGGGACAGGGAGCGAAGGGGCAGGGGAGAGCCGGGAGCATCCATCTGGAGAGCAGCTTGCTTGGGGAAGGGAGAGCGGTGGGGGAAACGTCTCACGCTCTGGTGCCAGAGCAGGAGGGGGTTTTGCCTGTGATTGGTTGTATTGGGGCTTGAAATGGAAATGTTCCCTGCGTGAGGGTTTGTAAATGGGGAAACCTCTGCCAAGAAAGAAGGAAAGGGAGAACAAGGGGCGAGGAGAGGCAGTCCGCCCCCTTCACCGCTACAGAAAAAAACCCACATCGAGAAAACCACACCATGTGTTTACAGACCAGGGAGAAAAGAGGAGTAGAAAGCCTTAGGAGACAGCTATCCATAATCATGGGTCTCTTCCTCCCGTCAGCTGGGGGAAGCCAGCTATACTCTGCTCTGTACAGAGGCAGTTTCCAGATCTGTGCTTTCTAAAGGCTGGTGCATAAAGAGGAAACAGATGGGATCTATTCCCAGCATGGAAAGTCTGTGGACTGAAACCTAAAGATCAGTTACCAGTGCCTAGTATTGTACTCAGCTCTAGCTTTGAAGGCTTGAAATAGAAATGGTTGTTAGTAGCGTTTCTTTAGGAACCTTTTTAAACTGGTGCCACAGGAGGAGACAAATGAACCTGTGAAAATATGCACAGCACACCGGGGAGCTTTCTGCCATTGAGCTGATAATTGTAATGAGAGGTGTTACTCGGTCGCAAAAATAAATAAATTAAGAACCGGGTTTTTACAACTGCATGGTCTGTTTCCATTCAATTCTCATCTGCCCTCTGTGCTTGTGGACGACAGGGCCAACACAATGATAGCTGCAGAGGACAAAGCTCGCCTATTCAAACATGCTCTGCCTGCCACCTTTGGAAAGTCTTTCTCTGGAACACAGCAGCACATTCATAGGATGTGGTAAAGAGGAGAGAGACAAGTCCCACGTATTTAGAAAGCGTTTTGTTTTTCTTTAGACTTGTGAAATCAAAAGTCAGATTAGTTTTAAGTTTTAGACATTGAGAAGATTACCTTAAAGTATTATTTAAAGTATATATGTATGAAATGATGTTGAACTTGAATTCCCTCCCGCCCCCTTCTCTCTCTGCATGTCCCCATACTCCAGGACAGGCAGACTTAGACCCCCCAGTTTGTGAGGCCCATATTAATAGATAAATTATTAAGCAAGAAAAAAAAAAGACATATTTTGAGAGAATTCTTTATATAGAGATAGCTCTTGCCAGGTTGGGGGGGGGGTGTTGTATTCAGCCTTTGTATAAATCTTTTGATGGCTACCGAATGAAGCATCTCCTTGGCTTTGTTTATGGTGAAATCAATGCAGACTTCCTGCTATAGACACCCACATCATGAAGCAAAAAGCAACATCTGCCTCAAAATTAAGGGAGCAGGGGGTGGTGTTATAAGAAAATTGTTTTTCAAAGGCTTCAATATTTTTACAATGTATAGAAAAGGCATTTTTAAATAGTAATTTAGTATCTTTTAACTGAAGATTGTTAGACATTGATTTGTATCTGTTTAGCGAAGATAACTGCAAAATGTAATTTTTTAAAACATTTCAAAATATTATAAGCCAAATCTAATAACTTTTAATACGGAGAGCTAAACTGAAATAGCTTTTTCTTGAGTGGTGGTGGAGGAATCTGAGGTAAGTGCAAGCATACAAAACTATTCTTCAGGTAAAGTATTTATTTTTAGTACACTCTCCAGTCACCAGAGAAACTTTAAACTGTCACAAGATTATAAAACAGGCAAAAATAGAATGTCTTCCCCCTTTACAGCTAAGGGTTCAACTGGTCAGATGATTCCAGAGATGGGAAACTTCATGCATAGGAGTAAAGCTACTCTTGTGCTAAATGGTTATGATAGTGTTAAAAAAAAAGCCCATGAAAACTCACGTGAAGGGGACTACTTTATTGGTATGTCATTAGCAAGAAAGACTATATTGTGAAAGCATGTTTTCTGTAACTGTAACTATATATTAGTCAAATGACTGGTTTGCATTGTTTGTAGCATGAGGATAAAACCCATTACTGTGAAAAATCCAACAGCTGTTTTTCAGCTATTTTAAGCACACTGCTTTAGTTCTTTTTGAGGGGGGCAAGACCATCTCAGAAATGAGAACATACGGCCAATCATGAAAAAATATAATACTTCTCTGCCACTGTGTACATCAGTATCAAAGAGTTCCTATTTATGAGATTTTCCTGCTATTTTCTGAAAGACTCATAGTCCCCTTTGAGATATCCAGTTCCTGGTTTCTTTCTAAAGACAGCATATGCTTGGAAAATTAGACTAATGTCATCTTTATATCTATCTAAATGCCTCAAAAAGTGTACTGTGTCCTTTTTTGGTGATCCTCAACAGAATGAAACTGATCAATAGGAGGTATGTTAAATGAAGAAAATAATCAAGAAATAATAACATTTTAAGAATTGCATTGGAGCATTGGCTGATAGCTTGAAAGTTAATTTTGTGGTTATCTTCCATAACATCTTATTCAAGAGAAAGGTATATCATTTAAATAGTTTCTATGTAGAAATAAATACACTAAAGACTTAATCTCATATCTGTTAAATATGAGACCCCATTGCTTCCTCTCACTGATTCAGGAGTAGACCTCATTTCTGACTTATTTTAAAGGAAGAAGGTACTAACTTGGTGTAACAAAATTATAGATCATGCTCTGTTCTTTTCCTCTTCCTGCTGATACTTTTATTCAATCTGATGTATTTTAAAAGCTGGTTCTTGACAGGACATCTGAAAAACTAATCAGCAAAGATGTGGTTGCTAAGAGAGGAGAGGGCCAGACTCAGTTAAATAGTGTGCTCTTAGAAGTTGTGCTGCTAGGAAGAACAACTTTATCTTGCTGTTACTTTTTTTTTTCCTGTACAAATGAAATAATTTGAAAAATTGAGTTGTATATTGTTCTTGCTTTTCTTTCTCTCCCTTTTTTACCCCCAAGCTTTGATGGGAATAGATATAGTTGGTGTTATTTGCAGGTTCAGGTTTACTTTCAGTGATTTTGGTGCTATAATATTTTGCTTTCAAGTATTCATTTAGAAACATCTTTAGCAAGCTTAGAAAGTAGGCCTGTTTCTCCAGCGTTGAGATTTGCAAAAGACTTAAAGTAAAATAAAAATAAAATTTAGTGTTATGTCATCTTGATGCTGATGACAAAATGGTTATTTTGAGGACTGAAAAAAAATTTTTCTCTGACTTCGAACATGAAAAGAAAAACTTTCAAGCATTACCCTTTTAGATTTCTTCACGTAATCCTATGCACCGTTCACAGAACATCACAGATCTAAAGTTTACGATTAAATATTACAATATTTCAAGTGAGTTTAAAAAAAAATTATTCCTGTCTTTATTTTAAAGAGAGAAAGTATTTTTATATAGGTTTATGTATTCCCCCCAGTCTTGCTATGAAAAATCAAGAAAGGCAATGTAGACTCAACCTTTTAACAATGGAATTATGTAAAATGTGGA